GTAACAATTCTTACTTCATGCCTACTGAGGTGAAGGAGTGCTTCAGTTCTCCTTGTTGATATAACCGGAATGAAGGACTTGGCCTGTCTGTTATCTTCCGTATTGGCCCAGTAATGTTGTGCTTCGTTCTTCATCCAGATATAGTAGTTCCGTCTAACGGAGCTCCATGGCAGTCCGGTAATGGGTCCTGGGCCTATGAATCCTTGTGCAGCCCCTTTTCTGGCGAGAATATCTGCTGTGTCCTGGTACCCATATGAGGTATACCCGGTTCCTTGAGGCGATAAGTATTAAAAGTTGAAGACAATCCCACACCAGCTTTGAGGTGATCTCGTGGGCTTTAAGAGCGAGGAGCGCCACTCTGCTGTCCGGGTGTATATTGATGTGTTTTTTGGTTGCCCCACTTTCTACATACTGCCTCAGATAAAGTTCAATGGCGTGAACCTCGGCCTGAAAGACTGAGTTACCCTGCCCCATGCTGGTGAAAACGAGCAGTCTGGGTTGTATACCGTAGACTCCTGCTCCGACGCCGAGGTCAGTCTTTAAGCCATCAGTATACCAGATGTGGCTGTCCTTCCGGGGTTTAGGTCGTTCATTGTCCCAGTTATTCCTGTCAGGGAAAAAGAGCTTGAAGTTATGTGAGAAGTTAAACCTCGGTAGGCACAGGTCCACAAAACTTATGCGCAATCCATCTTCTTATTCTATAACCCTGAGAGTGGAAGGGTTCACATACTTCTTGTCCTCTAAACTGTCCCCTTAGATGAAGGCAGGTTAAGAAGCACCTCGAGAGTCGCCGTTGGTGTTGTTCTCATCGCGCCAGTTATACCCATGCAGGCCAGTATCTGTAGTTTGCTGAGCTTCGGCTGCATGGACTTCACTTCCACCTTATTCCACCAGACGGGTGCAGCATAGGTAAGAATGGGTTTGGAGACGGCATTATACATCCACCTCGCCAGTTTAGGTCTGATGCCCCTGTTCCGTCCCATAGGGTTCCGGAAGATCCAGATAGAGGCCGTGGTCTTTTGAATAGTTTTATCTAGATGTCGGTCCATGAGAGCTTGTCATCAAGGATGACTCCTAGATATTAGACTTCTTTGGAGAAGTGTATCTTTTCACCTTGAAGGAATGGTTCTAATAATTTGTCCGTTTTCCTTTTCCTGGAGAATATGACTATGCTAGTCTTCTTTGGGTTAACGTTTAACCCATTTTTACTACACCAATTGGCGACAATGTTCAGAGCATTCTGTAGGAGGTTAGAGATGGTTTCTTTGAATCTACCCCTGATTACGATGACAATGTTATTCGCATAGCCTGAACGTCGAAGCCTTTTTCGCTAAGAAGGCAGAGTAGTTCATCCACTCCGATGGACCCTAGCAGAGGGGAGATCACTCCCCCCTGCGGGCAACCTTTCGTAGCTAAGAAACTGACCTTTTCCTATCCTAGAGTGGATGTACTAATTCTGGATTTAAGGACGTTAGCTATCCAGCGACATGCGGTTTGATCAACCCCTCTGCGCCGGACGCAATTGTCTATTAGAGAGTGTTCTGTGTTGTCGAAAGCGTCCTCCACAACCAAGAAACAACCCACCGCCACCTCTTTGTCCTCCAGGGACTTTTCAATTTTCCTTGTTAGATTCTGAAGATCGTGGATAGTGGATCTTCCTGGAAGATAGGCATAATGATGTCTGTACAAAGGATTCCTGGTAAGGAAACTATTTGTGATATGCCTGTCCACGATTATTTCCATTGTTTTTAGTAGGAAGGACGTAAGACTAATGGGTCGGTATGACTTTGGTTGGTCTGCTGGTTTTCCCCCACCTTTGGGATGTAGCGGACCATCACTTCCTGCCATTGGGGGTCCCACGCGAAACATGCTCTGAAAAGTGGTATCAGGAAGGGTAGTAGGCGGGGCAGCCCCTTTTGGAGATGAGCTGGGAAAATGCCATCTGCTCCAGGTGCTTTAAAAGGCGCTGAGGCAGATAAAGCCCATCTTATTCTATCCTCGTCGAACAGACCTTTGGCGATTCTCCAATCCTCTGCACGTGGGTGTTTTATCCCAGTGTGCGGCTGGATTGTTCTGGTTGTGTTCAGTGGCAAACAGTCAGGAAAATGCACCTCGGCTAGCAAGTTAAGGGATTCCATGCAGCGGTTCGTGGAGGATCCATCGGGTCTTTTTAGGAGCCCTAACTCATTATTGTGTGTCTTTACGAGAACTCTGTGAATTCTTGGCGATTCTCCAATCCTCTGCGCGTGGGTGTTTTATCCCAGTGTGCGTGTGGATTGTTCTGGTTGTGTTCAGTGGCAAACAGTCAGGAAAATGCACCTCGGCTAGCAAGTTAAGGGATTCCATGCAGCTGTTCGTGGAGGATCCATCGGGTCTTTTCAGGAGCCCTAACTCATTATTGTGTGTCTTTACGAGGACTCTGTGAATTCTTGCGCTTCCCGTAAGGTCCTTGATCCCTGTACAGAAAAGAGCCCATGAGTTCCTCTTAACACTTCTAATCTCTTTATTGTACTCGGTGAGGGCAATATTATACTTTTTCCATTCACCGGTTCGTTTAGCTCTGTTAAAGAGCTTCCGGTTATCTTAGGGCCAATTTGTTATTCCACCATGGAGTCTGTCTGTTGTTAAGCCTAGTGACTTCTGGACAGGATTCATGGTAGGAGTTCGCAATGGCTGATGTCAGATCTGAGCAGCTAAGTTCAAGATAGAGTAAGTCATTTACCTTTCGCCTGCACATTTTCAGACCGTCCTACAGAAGTGCATCGTATAGATCCCAATCTGTGGTTCTTGGCCTTCTGTAGGTGGTAGCAGTTGGTAATGTGATTTCAATTTCAAAACGGATGTGTATGTGATCTGATAAAGAAATTTCTCTGGCCACTTTCCATTTTTTGACGAAATTACTGATAAAAGGAGGGCATGGAGAGAGATCTAGAACCTCTTCCCGTATACTCTTCCTAACAGTGGGGAAGTTACCTAAGTTTAAAATTTCTAACCTATTAAGGCTCATAAATTCAAGTAAGTACTTACCTCTTTGATTTATGGTGCTGCTACCCCATATGGTATTGTGGGCATTAGCGTCACATCCCACGATGAGTTGCAGTTTATGTCTGCCACAATAGTCCACTAGTCCCTGTAGTGACTGAACATCGTAATCTCTGGAGTTGCCGGGGAGGTACGCTGAGCAAGTGATTAGCTCTTGAGTGTTTTCTCCGAGAGATTGGCTCACTTTCACTACAATCTCGTCCTTATTGGTAAGTTCTGGAATGAGAAAGGCGTTGATATGATTAGCTATCATCAGGCAGGCTCTAGGCCGTCCTTCGTTGAAGGAGTCATAGAATAGCTTACCTGTTAGTCCCTTTGTTTGGTTCCCATAAATGTACGGCTCCTGGATAAAGGCGATGTCAAGATCATAAAACGTCTGTGCCAGAACCGCTGAAGCCGCCTTGGCATGTTGTAAGTTTATTTGGATGCACCTTACTACCATATTAATTTTTCGAGTCGTGCGGCTGGTTACTCTTCCTCATCCACTTCGGGAGCTTCGTCCCATGTAAGCGGCGAGTCGAGTGTGGACCTTGCCAGTGTTGGTTGGGCGGGCATGGGAAGTGTACGTGTCGACGCCAGTATATTCGAGCGAGCATGGGTGGTGTTGCCTTTGCCTGCCTTTGGTGGCTACCCTCCAGGGTAGAGGAGACTGCGGGAGGTTTCGCGCTCTCGAGGAGCTAGGTCTCTCCTTTGTCGCGTCGTTGGCCCTTAGCTCCTTGACCTTCTTGTATCGCTCTCTCTCCATCTCCTTCGCTTTGGTAGGTGCAATGCCGTCCTTGATCAAAGCACGTATTCTACGCTTCTGGGCTCCGGTGAAGTACTCGAACTTCTTCCGGTTTTCCGCTGTTCCTTCAGCACTAGTGTTCGTAGACGCCTTAGTGCCGGGATCCTGGCTATCGCTCTCCGTGATCGGTTCGAGTCCCTGATCACCTGGCGCAGAAGTGGTGATAGAATCAGGTGAGTTTAACCTGAGTGAGGCATTAGGTCTCTGCTCAAGGTCATTCTCAGACCTAGTGGGTGAACGGAGTAGAGAAAGTTCCTCTGACTCTGTGATGTTGATATTATTTTCAATTGTTATTTCATCCATAAAGTTTTTTTTTGAAATGGGAAGAAGGTATCGGTCCGCCACCCCAGTGCTCCCTTGTGATGGTAAGGCTGGTTACGATGTGAGGGCGCCCGGTATCACAAAGAAAATGCGCTTGCGATGCCCATGTTTCAGTTCCCAGCACCATTCAACCATCGGCACGCTTCAATAACCTTAGTTTGGGAACGGGTACAAACGGGTTTCACCGAGGGAATTCTTCTCGTCATCCTCAAGCTGCCCACTGTGCCACCCCTCCTCTTTTTTCAAACCGGGCTTGGGACCGTCTAAGGCAGAGTTACGCTGCAAGTAACTAATAGCTCTTTCTTTTCTCGAAATAATGTTGCATTGATTCTGCCCTGCACCAGAGCTGTCAAGATTTCGTGTTCTCTTCTCAGTATATATATATATAATATATTGCGTGCTCTTTCTTTAAAATGTTGCACTCTGATAATGTTGCTATATACGAAGGTGACATTTTTTCGAGAAAAGAAAACGTCATTTAATTTGTTGAGCACCTCTGATTTACAATGCCTCAAATAATTCAACTGTGATGGCTTGATGCTTAATGTGAGCACTGTGAAATCCATTTGGCCAGATCCTCTCCACTCACAGCTTCCCTCTTGGACTTCCCGGATACCACTTTCCCAACGCTCCAATAATCATAATTCTTTTCGTCCAGTTTCTCGATCTATTACATCGCACTTATGTACTTTTGTGTATATGTATATACATACATGCATGCGTTTTTTAAGAATGTTATAGTTTTTCTTATAGAAACAACTTCAAGCGCAATATAAATTGTTTAATTAGAATATTTAAATCATAATTTTTATTTAATTTGGACTAAAATATGTTTATATTTTATTTATTTTAGATTGCCGTAGAGGCCAGTCACTGGTTGTTTGGGCTATTACGGAAGGGCGACAGGCCGCACGCCAGATCGATACCTATCTCATGAATGTTCCTAGCAGCTTACCAGGTCCTGGTGGAATTATAGACATCACAAGAAACGTTTAAGAAATCCATCATACTGCTGAACTTTTAGATGAGCAAAATTAACTTGATGCTTAACGTTAGTGTATTCAGCAAAATGGGAAGAACATGAATAATTAATACAAAATGATTTCGTCTGTTTACCAAGTTACTAATAATTTGAAAATAAACCAAAACGTTACAGCTTTACTTTTATTTTAAGAATTGTTTTGCCTAATAAATATGTAATTATGGCTGACTTCATAAAAATAAAAATGCCACTTTGCGACATGTTATGAACCGCACTATTATACTTTGTACGTATGCAAAGCAATTGACGTTTTGGAAGTCAGCCTATGTCAACGTTTTAAGCTCGTTTTTTTTTAGCAAGGATCTGTTGTGAATTAACGTACCAGAGCGATATTTTGCCGTGTACATGTTTTTAACGTTAAACTAATCAAAAGACGTACAAGTATTTGATTGCGTAACTGCCCGAATTTTCGAGTTGATTTTGAAATATTATGTATCTCAGTATTTAAAAAGTATGGAAGCCTTTGAGAACGAGCTTTACAGCGAATTGGAATGGGTCCTTGAAAAGTAAAGGCCTGATGTCTACACCCTTCCTCAATGTTATTTATTTATTTATTGATTTAATTCTTGCAGCTTAATTAAGCCTAGCTTAAACTTATATGCCTATCCATATCTATGTGTGAATAACTCAGTGAGAGGGGAGACCAGTATTTTTGCATGTATGTATTTAAAAAAAATATTTATTGGACCAAAAAGTAGTGGGTAGGCACTGTGGCCAATGGTAATCAACTATTACCACCTCCGCATGGTTGTAAACCATGCAGAGTCCGCAGAAGACTCCGGAAGCAGTGTCCGGAGGATGCATCAGACTAGGCCGAGCATACTTTCAACTGCCATCAAATTAAAACTTAAGAAAGTTTTATTACATGGCAGTTGAGAAGTGCATGTACATAAATTTCATTAATTTAATGAAGGAAATTTTTGCACATGCAGCAGTACATAGCATGCATTTAGGCGCCTGGTGTTAGCAGTCGCGTCTAAACATACCGGCCCCCCTAGACGATTTGGTCGTCTAGTAGATGTAAAATAAGCCGCAAATATCCGGCTCGAAGGACCATGAATAACTTAGTGAGAGGGGAGACCAGTATGTTTGCATGTATGTATATAAAAAAAATATTTATTGGACCAAAAAGTAGTGGTAGGCACTGTGGCCAATGGTAATCAACTATTACCACCTCTGCATGGTTGTAAGCCATGCAGAGTCCGCAGAATGCTCCGGAAGCAGTGTCCGGAGGATGCATCCGACTAGGCAGAGCCTACTTTGAACTGCCATCAAATTATAACTTAAGAAAGTTTTATTACATGGCAGTTGAGAAGTGCATGTACATAAATTTCATTAATGAAGGAAATTTTTGCACATGTAGCAGTACATAGCATGCATTTAGGTGCCTGGTGGTAGCAGTCGCGTCTAAACATACCGGCCCCCCCTAGACGATTCGGTCGTCTAGTAGATGTAAAATAAGCCGCAAATATCCGGGTCGAAGGACCATGAATAACTCAGTGAGAGGGGAGACCAGTATGTTTGCATGTATGTATATAAAAACAATATTTATTGGACCAAAAAGTAGTGGGTAGGCACTGTGGCCAATGGTAATCAACTATTACCACCTCCGCATGGTTGTAAGCCATGCAGAGTCCGCAGAATGCTCCGGAAGCAGTGTCCGGAGGATGCATCCGACTAGGCAGAGCCTACTTTGAACTGCCTTAAAATTATAACTTAAGAAAGTTTTATTACATGGCAGTTGAGAAGTGCATGTACATAAATTTCATTAATTTAATGAAGGAAATTTTTGCACATGCAGCAGTACATAGCATGCATTTAGGCGCCTGGTGTTAGCAGTCGCGTCTAAACAATGTGTATTTAGGATCTATAATTTAAAGCCTAGATTAAGTATGAAATATAGGCCATTTATGTAAATAGACACCAGCTGCAATGAAAAACAATGAGGCAGACTTCCAAAACAAATCATTAAATTATTGCACTATTTGGCTGCGGTCGAGCCACCGCGTATGCATGCAAAGTGCGAAACAAACATCTAAACAGCGATTCACAGATTTGATCTAGTGATGCGTTTTTTGATGAGCCTCGACTACTTTCCGGATGCGTGCAGAAGGGTATATGGGAAAATTTTCCAATACGGAACCCGGCTTTAAAAAAAAAAACAAAAAATGAGGGGGTTTAGAGCGGCTTTTTGTGATTCTAAATCTGAAAACCCCAACCTCCTGAGGTTTATAGTTTTTATGAAAATTGAATTTTAAGTTGCAAAAAATGTCAACTTCAACCTCACTGTTTGCTTTGTAAACCAATTGTACTACAATGTCGGTGCTGCCACACAACAAAAAATGCCCCAAAAAAGCACTAAAAACGAGAAACAATAAAAACGGGCATTGTAATTAACTTTTTTTTAAATTAAATATCGATGTAATCATAAAAAAAAAGTGATTCAGTCTAAAATCGAGAGATTTTGTAATAAAAATGTTAACTTAGTTATTTATCGATAAATAATGAAAATTTTTAATAAAAAATCGCGCGATGTTTTATTAAAAATTTTCGCCTGCACCGCTTTTCCCATAAAAATCAATACTTCGATAAATGACTAAGTTAACATTTTTATTACAAAATCTCTCGATTTTAGACTGAATCACTTTTTTTATCATTACATCGATATTTAATTTAAAAAAAAGTTAATTACAATGCCCGTTTTTATTGTTTCTCGTTTCCAGTGCTTCTTTTGGGCATTTTTTGTTGTGTGGCAGCACCGACATTGTAGTACAATTGGTTTTCAAAACCAAAGGGAACACACATTGCATATGAGTTAATAAAAGTAGATTTGTAATTGTTAACGACAGTTTTAAATTACAATTTAAAACACAACTGCTTTCAAATGGTTCAACTCAACTGGTTTGAAGTTTTTGAAGATTTTGATCGAGTTTTAAAATGTAACATTAGCATTTATTTACTGATAGATAATCTTGACTCCCCCTCCATCTTCCCTCTGCCATTTTTCTGTCTCTTTCAAATCAGTGTCAACAGTGAAAATTTACGATTTGGTTACTATTCTAGAACAAACCTAATATAACTTAAAGCACGGTTATAGAACAAAACTAGATAAATGCATGGTTGTATTTCGAATTACGTTTTCCTTAAAAAAATATTTACATACATACTTATATACATATGTAATTAGGTGGAAAAACTAAAATAAAAAATCGTCAGTACGGAGGGAAAAGTCGTCAAAACGTGATTGAGCTAAAAAAAAAATCGTCAAAATGACGACGAAATCGTCAATTCGGCAACGCTGTAAGTAGATTAGATTATATTAGATTTAGAGGAGGTAGCAGGTCACCTAGTAACCGCGACCGAAACGATCTATTGTAACAAACCTCTATTCAACTACAGGTCATCTTTGATCCACGTACTGTTAAGAAACCTGGCGAGGTCCTTTGGCTGAATGCCGTTCAGGTCGTGTGCTTCTAGGTACGGTGATCCTAGGAAGCGAAGTCTGGTCATGGTAAGGGCTTCTCAGTGGCACATAATGTGCTTTGCTGTTTCCTGTTCTTCGTTTCACAACCTGCACTGGTCAGAGTTATTCAAAAACAAGTAAGAGCAGTGACGTCTACGGCTATGCCGAAGGCTTCATATCTTCTTTGAACATCAGAAAATTTTACTTTAACAATTACTGCATTTGAATTAGTTGTTTGGAAGCTAAACACAATTTTTATATTCACACAACCAGAAAAAGTCAGCTAAATATATTCCTCTCAACACAAGATTTGGTAAATATAACCAAATAATGTAACTATAACCAAATTATGTTTTGAGGTAAAGATTTTTATTTGACGTAACTAAACACTTTTCTCAGTGCAGCATACATACTTACAGCCCAATTCTTTGCACTTAATAAATTGAAAATCTTTATAATTTGTCAATATTTTATTATTTATAAATAATTGGTACTCTAGCACAGGAATCAAAAGCTCTTTTCTTGATAAATTATCAAGATTGAAAATGCTATTGACAAATTTAAATTTCATGTGAAACGTATAAATTTTGTATATCTGTTTCGTATGGAAAATTAGCTTATGTCGAAGGGCTGGATTTAGTATAAATCGGCATTCGCAGCATGTGATTGCGAATGATTCACAGGCACTGAGCCGTTGAACAACGTTTGGCAAATAAACGTGCCAGAAATAGTTCCGATACTAGCAAGTCAATATTCCTATTAAGTCTCATCGCAAAACTTCTTGTCGTTTAAAGAATAAAGGGAATGCCGCATTATACTAAAGCCAGCCTTTCGACATAAGCTAGTTTTCCATACGAACACAGATATAAATAAATTTGTTTCTAACAATTAAATACTCCATGTGCCGGCATTTGAAGCTGTGATACATGGAATCATGATAAAAATATAGTAAGGTAAAACCGTTCTCTCAATTCGTCGGCCATGGTTTGTTTTTTTGAAGTTTGCCAACATTTTAAAATCATATAAAATTGAGAGTAAAAAAAAGGAGTTGCTCAAAGTTGTTGTTTGGGATTGAAAATGAGAATGTGTGTCTGAGTTTGTGTGTAAAATTTTAAAATTAAACTGCTTGCAAACGTCAAGAATTTGAAAAATTCCTCTCAGCGGTTTTACCTTCCTATTTTTTTAACATGCACGGAATTATAGTCGACATCTCTACCAACTCGGCTAAGGCAGTCAAAAGCTTTTTTGCTTTTAAATTCATAATTTTCATATGTCACAATGAAATCAGTTCCACTCATGTGAAAATCAGCTCCCCTCATGTGGAAATCGTAGAGCTTTTTGTTTTATAAATATTGACACAGAATGCGAAGGGAGCTTTTACTTTATAAAAATCTTGATAACATTTCTTTACAAAAAATGTATCAAGAAAACACAGAATTGTGCGGTTAGATAGAGGAGTTACATATATAAAAAAATCATATCTAAACCAAGGTACATTGAACAGGTAGTATCAGTAGAGCAGCTGATTTGATTTTTTTTCAAATTATTTGGTCTCGAAAATGTCAAATATTTTTAATTTTTTCTCACAAAAATTCTGAATTGTTAAAATCCATTTGCATGTGAAAACTTTTTCCATACAAAACAAGCGATTGAATAGCTGCT